AGTCAACAAAATATTGTACTAGGAACAAAGGATTATACTTTATTATGTTTCTCGTTATATTCAAACAAGAACAAAGAAAATTCTTTGGATTTTGGAAGTGTCCGAAGTAGTGAAATACAGGGTGATATCGATGATATAAATCATACATACCCTCTTACAAAATAAGTACACTCGGCAGTATCGTGTATAGTATTTAAATAACACAACACATCCCGAACCGAACAAGTCGGTTTTTTTTCTATTTTCGCGAAAAGTAACGTTTAGCAAATAACATCGAACATCTTACATTTTTATTATATCTGTGATCATTGCACACGCATACATACATGCGAAAACATACGTCCAATTTCTGGATATATTTTAGATATCTTTTTCTTAATTAAATATCTACGATAACACTTAGGACAAAGTAATACTGATCGTTTCCAAGCTACTTTACAGTCTGACATTTTGTACATTTCTTATCATATCCTTAATCTTTCATAATGATAATTTTAATATAAACTTTAATAACTAATTTCAATAACAGAAATAACGTAGCTACAAAATATATTTATAATAAACAATTAACGAGACCTCACTATACTGCTTAGATACTATCAATACCCTCAATATCTTTTCAATGAGACTCGGCTCTTGAATATTCTTTAGAAACTATGATGAAAGAAGGCTTGATCATACAAATTCATATATATAAGTAGGTACTTGTGATTCTAATACGCATACATAACAATGAAAAAAATTAAGCGTGTGATACTTTTTATATAATGATAATTTAACTATTAACGTCAACTAAGAAACAAGAGATAAAATATTAAATTTTGCATTTCACAATAAATAAATATTTATCAATTAATTAAAAAATAAATAATTGCATTTAAAAAACTGAAAATTTTAACATGCGTGATGTAAATTTTTATACATCAGCTTCTCATGTATGTTTTATTTCAAAAAACTATCACATATTTGAAAGACGCTTTTTTTGCATGCTTTTTTTCTCGTTCGCGCTTTTTCTCTTCCTCTCTGTAAAATTAAATCTAAGAAAACTAAAATAAAATACAATGATCAATTTATCACTGTATCCTTACAGGAGAGAAATATATATATATTTATATGTATATTTTAAATTATCACACGCGACAATGAAAATGTAAGAAAACAGAGCAGAAGAGAATGGCATAAATTGTTCTCAATCGGTTGATGCCATGTTATTATTCGCTGCCGAGTCTTGAATATCATTGCATAAACTATACATGTAAAAGCATACACCACACTAAGGCTGCCTAGGCTGGATCAGGTTACTAGGTTGTTGTCTCCATCTCCTTCTGACGACGTTCAACTTTTTCAAATAGAATTGCAGGGTTGAGCGATTAATGCCATACATCTCTGATGCCTGAGTGGTGCTAACCCCCTGCTGTAATATTGCATCCAGGGACATTTTAACCGAGTCTAAACTATACTTTCTGCCCTGTTTTTTTTCCAGCGATTTAAGCAACGCGCCTACGTCAACATCTGGGCGTGGCCGCCTCATGTTCGGCCCTTTTTTACATTCGAGGAAATGGGACGCCCAGAGGGCACCGCCATCACCACCCACCAAATTCCCTCTCGACCGAGACCGCGCTCCCGCCCCCCCACCTGCAACGAGGAAACCCAAACTAGTGTCGGCCGAACATTACACGACCCGTTTTAACATTTAAGAAACAAAAAACGAAACGTTCGCGTAATTATATTTGAAGTCACCAATGATTGAGTCCCTTTCTTTAATATAATTTTGCATTTTAAATTTAACAAACATATTTTGCGAGATATGTAAATTTCCTATCCTTTTACATCATACGGATTAGAAAATCGTGCTTCGATTCAAAGTTTCTCTGAATCGAAGTTTTACTACTGTGATATATAATATATATATATATATGCATATCGTCTACACAATACGGTATAATTTCTCGTTTAATTTCGTATCGAGTGTACAAATAATGATTTACGTATATCCGATAACAATTGAGAATTCGCAACTTATATGTACAAAATTTCAATTGATTCAGTAGTAAATTTGTAAAAATACCCTGTATTTCGCTACTACGTTATAACAAAAAATCAAATAAAATATAAGAAATAGTTCGTTCAACTTACCAGGATGTTGGGAGGGGTCGTGGGACGGTCCGGCTCTATTGTTATCCTGTTCCATCTCGTTCAGATCGTTCATATCGTCATCCAGCGTCAGATCTTCAACGCTTTCTTCTTGATCTTCTAGATATTCAGACTTTGGCTCGATGAGATTATCATTTGGCTCAGGTTTCTCCAAGGGCAACTATGAAAAAATATATATTTTATTAAAAAAAGCATTTCCTTTATTTAAAAATATTTACTTAAAAATTGACAAAACAGAATTTTTAAATAAATCATTACAATCGTGTATCGTACCGTTTCCACTCTATAAGATTAAATTAATACGACATCAAACAGCAGGATAAAGTACGATATCGTTATTCTACCAACGTAGCGAATGAAACAAGAGCATTACAACACAAGCTTCTATTAGACGTTGGTAAATAATTAATGTAACTGGACAATAGAATTTTTTTTATCAAATTTCATAAATCTCACCTGCAGCATTTCATCGGCAGGTTTCGTCAGCTGCGTC